TTGTGTTGTGCACTTGTTGAAGCGGTTGACTGGAATTATCTGGAAGTATATTTGAGTGTTTATGTGCCAGTACGGTTACCTGGGTGGTTGTTGTTTCATTTTTAACTTTTATTTTTATTTTTTTCTCGGTCTACGTGAGTACTTGTCTGTCCTTGTTAATTGACAGCGCGAGTGTTATCGATAGCTGCAGGCGTTGCGCGAGCGGCGTTTCTGTCTGCGTACCTTCGCATCAAACACCCGCGGGGTAATATTATCTAACGCCGGTAACATTAACTAGGAAAGGACAATTGCTCCTGAGCGTTGCTCGGGAGGACATTTTCCACTTTTTTCCCCGCTCCGGCAGTAGCCTGCTTTGAGAGGGTTTTTTGTGGTTTTTCGGCCTCCCTAGAGCAACTTCGCTTTAGTTTAGCTAAACGTGGTTCAGCAGGAAGTAATTGTTCATTTGGTTATTTTAAAAGTTTAATTTTAAGGTTGTTATCGCTGACGCTGTCGGATAATTTATAAAAAAAAAAGTTCCGATTTAACGCAAGTGTTAATTTAGTGTTTTAGTGTACTCGGCACTTTGTTTTAACTATACGTTAATTAGATCAACTAAAAGTTTAAATACTCTATATTATTATACTGGGCTGGGAGTAAAGGACGGGGTCATAGTGAGTTAGGTAATTATGGGGCCAGCTCAGTGTTGTGATTGCAAGATGTTTGCCCTTCTGGCTGTTTGCGTCCAGTCGGACTTCGTCTGCGAGCGATGTAAGTTAGTGGACTCACTCATGGTCCAGGTTCGTGACCTCGAGGAGCGACTGGCTCTCATCCAACATAACAATGAGTTAAAGGAGAGAGTTAACACGCCTTTTAGGGAGACTGTGTGTATGTCACAAGTGGGGAGGGGGGAGAATGATGAACAGGTAGGTCGAGAGAGCTGGGTGAACGTATAGATCCAGATTCAGTCTCTATTGCAACAATAAGGTTACAGCCAAGACTGGACACCTTGCAGGAGTGTGTCCAATACTGTTTAACACTAATTTTTATACATTTTCTTATCATTTAACAATATCTCGTCAGTTAAGTTTGTCAATCATTTCTTTTACTTTTTGGTCCCTGAGCCGAACATAATTGTGTTTTTTTTAAATACCCAGCCGTGAACTTTTGGTGAACTCAGCTGTATCCCTTCCCTTCAGTAGAAAATCTTGGCAGCTTCAGCTTGTTACACATTGTTTGGCTAAAGGGTATTTGTCCTTCAACATACTGATAAGCTGCAGCACTAATGAAGGACATATTCATACATCAAAGGCTAACATAAGATAGCTAACAGACACAAGTTGCCAATTCATACGTGCTTTTCCTCACATTGTGCACAGCAGTAATTGGTCTGTATTCTCTGAAGGTTATAAGGTCACACAGTTTACATCAGCTTCTTAATAGAGTCCTAATGATTACATTCTGTATGCGTCATGAAGCGCTAGATGATATTCCATAAGACTAGCAGCCGTGGGCATGTCAACAGGTAAACAACGTGAAGATATTGGGGATTTATGTCCAATCAGGAGCATGTACATCCTGAAAGGCCACACCCTCAAAGGCCCCCTGTCACCCCACTGACACGGTCCTCCAGGTGACACACACACAGGTCCTGAAAGCACTGGAAAAAGTGAAGCCCCACAAGGCCGTGGGACCCGATGGAGTCCCTCCCAGAGTTCTGAAGGCCTATGGGGAACAACTAGCTGGTGTGCATGATGATATCTTCATCATATCACTATCCCAGGCAGCAGTCCCCCGTATTTTTAAATCCTCCACCATCATACCCCAAAAGACCGGACACATCCACCCTAAATGACATCAGACCAATGGCACTCACACCGGTTGTCATGAAGTGCTTAGAAAAACTGGTTCTCACCCACATCAACCACATGGTCCCAGACACCATCAACCCCCCTCCATTTTGCCTGCCGCCCTAATCGATCAGTGGATGACGCAATAGCAATAGCCCTACACCACACTCTGCAACACCTGGAATGTAGCAGAACGTATGTCAGGATGCTCTTCCTGGACTACAGCTCTGCTTTCAACACCATCCGCATGGGCAAGCTGATCGAGAAGCTGACAGACCTCGGCGTTCCAACTCCAACCTGTAATTAGATTCTGGACTCCTTGACA